CTCAAGTTTTATTGTCAAATGCCAAGACTCACAAAACCTACTCAGCTCTGGTTGTCAGTCCAATCTAGATGAAACTTATGACCCTCCAGTTATTGCTGAACTACAACTCCCAGCACCTCTCACCATTGCCCATGAAGGCTGGGGCTGCTGGTGTTGTGTTCAGCAGCATCTGGAGGGATAGAAGTTGTCCACGGCTGGCTTAAGAAATGGCTTAAAAACAATTTAAATAAACTAATCTTTGCCCACTGACTGGGCACTAGTGCCTCCTTTCTTTCATATACTCTATGAGCGTGCTGTCAGGCTTCCTTGAATGCATCATAAATTCCATCCAACCATAGTGGAATTTATTCTCTCTCTCTCTCTCTCTCTCTCTCTCTCTCACACACACACACACACACACACACACCCCACATATTTTTATCTTCCCTTCTCTTTCTATTAAATTGGTCAGGATTATATGAATTGGGTCCTTAATGTAACATCTGGGAGTGCCAGTGTGCCTGTAGATGCCATTATTAGCGCCTGCCAGATTCTCTGCCCTGCATGAATTCTTGCATTTAAAACATATTGTTTTACCAATGGTAAATTGGCATGATGCAAAACAAGGTGCCAGTCTCCATTGCATCATCTTTATTTCCAATAATGTATTTGGCCTTTATAAGCTTTCTTAAGAAAGAAAAAAATGTAAATGGTTGTAGTCCAAGACTTATTCTGGAAGAATGCCCACACCTGCCTAGAAAAGAAGACAAATGTAAGCAGGCTACATAAGAACTTTCAGCAAGAAGAGAGGCTTTTAGGAACATGCTGACGTCCATAGGCAGCCTCACCCCACCCGGGCCCTTAGCCTACAAAAGTGTGGGTGTGTAGGAGAGAAGACAACAACAAGCAGATGAGGAAGCAGGAAGCGACGTATGGGAATGTACGACTATTACAGGCAAGCAAGAGAGCTATCAGTCAATTGCCAGGACCACAAGCTACGGTAAGCAGCCCATTGTGGTGTGATTCCTGTCTGGAGCTTGGTAACAACCAGAAGAGGAGCAACCACACTGAGGCAGCGCCTAATCCCAACAAGTGCCTCTTTTGGAGGGAGGTAAAGGTTGTATGGCACTTTACAAACTTTATGACTTTAACTTGTTATAAAGACTACCCATCAAAGATTTATTTATGTGGTTACATCAACTTGCAAAGCCTAGGAGGGTGGAGTTAACCCAGAATAATAGCCTATTGTTGGGGAAGGTGTGTGCTACAATAAAGCATTGTGTACAGTTATCTGCTATGCTGTGGTATGTCCAATCCTTGGAAAGCAAAGAACCTTCACTGTAGGTCTATGCTTTGTAAATGATTATGTTCCCACAGCATTCTTTTTGTGAATAGGCACACCTACTCTAAGCAGTCATTTTGCAAAACCATTCACAATACATTCTCAAAATTCCAAATGTGGCATCTGGAATTTCAAGAAGACATTCTGGTCCAAAAAGACTGGTCTTGCCTATTCTGATGTTGAAAGCATTAGGCCACTGTAGAAATAAATAATATAATAAATAAACAAAAACAACTAAAAGAGCCTTACAATTACATTTCTGAAGATCAAATGCTATTCATATATGCTTTGGAATAAATCCTTTGAATTCAGTGAAACTTGTTTTTCAGGGAACGTGCACAGGACTGAGTACATGCATGCAGTTAACTAAAAATTCCTATGAATCCCTCCCACACAATGTCCATTATCAAAAGAACTGCTTTATCTGCAAACAAATTATAGCTTATCAGCTGTACAATTTATTTGAGGATTTCTTTTTTAAAAAATAAGTATCTTACAAGTCAGATAGGGAAAAATATTAACCACTTACTGGTCACAGATGAGTGCCTGGATCTGCACATCCCCACATGCAGAAGCTAGGCCCCATGGGAAGAGCTCTTTTAAAAAAGAAGAGCATTTCATTTACTTACAATATGCCTGGGCCCACTTTTATGCCTGGCTTTCACATATCAATTAGGCCAGGCTTCAGGTCAGCATTCAAACATCACAGTATTCTTTTTATTAGGAACATCATATGAAATATAATGTTCTAGCAACAAGCAAGTAACTGGCCAGGTATGGGCTTTATAAATAAATAAATAAATAAACAAACAAACAAACAAACAAACAGAAATTTTACAAGATCCCATGCCAGAACACTGAAATCCTGCAAAATATGACAACTACAAAACATTTCAGTTATTTTAACACTTTAATTGCAGAGTTACAGTATGCTGTTTAAGGCATTGCAAGTGTTTTGGTGCCTGTAAGCACTTCATCACTGACCCTTGCCTGAAAATACATTCACATATTGTTAGGTATTTTTAGCTCTTTTTTAAGTGCCATGTTTCCGTTTCACACATTCTTTTCCCCCACTATTAGCACTGTTAAGGAAAACATAAACTAGAATTAATAGGAGAAGCTCACAATTTCTTTCTTTCTATAGCATCAAGCTAAGAGTATTAATATGGCCTTTTTCAGAAATATTACTTTGAATGAATTCATTTGCTGGATTCAAGAACCCATATCTATTTATGGGTTTAAGCACTATTACACACAATGCTTTTTTTGCCAGAATTTACTTTGCTTCCTGAAGTATATATTACCCATATTAGTAACGGATATCCAAAAATATCTCATCTGTATTGTTTATCCTGCTATTCTTTTTTTTTAGTTAAATAATGGAAAACTGGAAATCTCATCTTCAGTTTCCATGGTTCTGTAAGAAACATGTTAAAGAAGCAGAATCGGCAGATCAAAACTTTGACTACCTTGCTGGTATGATTTCCAAAACAGGAAGCTGTTTTCCATTTACCATTCCTATTTCTTTCCAAGACTGTACAGAATTTTTGTTTGTACAGCACTACCATTAAAACTGTTAAGATGAAATAGACACCACCGAAAAAAGAAAAGAAAGAACCAGCTCCACCAATATTTTTCCTGCTTTTCCTGACTTTTTCTATTACATCTGATCACAAATCATAACATTTGGAAGACTTGTGGCTGCTTTTTGTCACTTGCCAAAGCCAAGACATCATATCAGGTATAGCAGTATTCAATTAAGTATCACTGCTTTGGCCCTGAAAAGGATTCTGAAATTTCTCAGTGTTCTCCTTCAGTTTCACCAAAGGTCAAACTATGCATTACTTATTATTTTAAAATGTTATTTCATATGCTTTTTATCCCAATGAAGTTCTACATTCTTCCCTTCTATGCCATAAGGTACTGCCATTGGAGGGTCATCCTCTCCCCACTGTCCCACAATATACAATGCAAACAAGCAGAGCCAGTTTACAAACCCTTTTTTGGAGAGTTCGCCTATTCACTGATTTAGAAATTACTTAGGACCACCCAGAGTTACTTGATTAAGATGGGCAGCCATATAAATTTAATAAATAAATACATGGTCAGCAATCTATCTTTGCTTGCTTGCTTGCTAGAGATGCTGGAAGCAGACACTCAGAAAGTATTTTCCAGGGGCAACAGAGTGAGAGGATGAAGAAGAACAGTAATGTTTCCTTCCAGAAAGGCAAATGGGGATTGGCAATGTGGCATGGAGCATGAAACACCACAACATGGTGCCTGTAGCCCACCCTCCCCTTTAATATTCTTTTTGATTAAAATCTCAAGATAACCCATCGTAATGCCTCTGCAATATCACACATTTTTAATTTTGTCCTGTGAATGTAACATTTTAATTAACTCATCCATTTGTGTATGCTCAAGACATAACACAAAATCACATGACACCTGCCACTTGAAAAGATTGCTGATCCCAGAAATGAGACACAAAGTTTGGGTGAAGATGAAGACAATAGAGTGCCTCTATCAGAACAGAAAAAGTAATGGGTACACTGCTAATCTACTATGCTCTAGGACACAAAATTTACAGAAGAAGTAGAAGGTCAACAGAGAACTGTTCCTGGATTTGGGCCTTGGAACAGGAAACTGTATCTATTTTTTGTAGAATTAAGTTAATCAGAAATTTCATTTATATACTTCTGACCATCTCGCTAGTTTGTTTCTTCTGATAAACTAAGCACATATATTGTCTTCAGACATGTCATTGAGTTCTGAGAGTCATTCTGGAGTCAGGAAGATGATGATAATGATTAAAAGAAGCTTTAGGAATACAGATGTTATAGCAGAGAATAAGCAGGGGAAAAGTGTGCTTAATTTTTTCCTGTCTAGTATTTCTTTTCTTTTATTACAGAAAAAGAAAGTGAAATAAAATTGCCCTCGCCAATTTTTTTCAAAAGGGTTTCTCAGTTCCAAAGAACACACTAATATAATTTTAATGTGACCCATGCCACTACAATTTTTGCTTATTTGTGAAAAATATGGAAGTCTAACACCCTCTAGCTTATTTTTGTTCTGTTTAAGCTCTTGCATTTCTAACTGATTTATATTCATAACAAACATACACACATACACACAAATTATACATAAGTGACAAACATCCTTTAAGTACTGTTTCCTTCTTGGAGATCTGGGTTCCAATTTATGTTCTCCTGTGGATTTGGATGCTATAAATGCTATCAGTATTTTTAACAACATTTATTCTGTTGTCATACCTTCTTGCTTCTGACTACACAGGAAATGCCAACAAAATAAACACACTCTGGGACTTTTCCTCACAAACTAATTCAAATGTTACCTTATTTTCTTCCCTTCCTGCAGTAATGGGTCTGCAGGATTCCTGAATCTGCAGAACACATAAATTCACTCTGCTAGTAATGAAGTGTGTATTTAGAAACCAAGTTTCTAAACTGCTACATTGCAAGGGAAAGGCAATTAGGAAGCCACATGGTAATCATGCCTCTGCAGCCCCCACCCCATGCTCTTGGAGTAACATCAAATGACTCCCAGAACTGAGCAGCTCTGCACATACCCGCATTTGTCTTCCCCCTCCTTTCTCCAACCGACATAAATGTATGAATGAATGAGGCTTGTGAAGATGTACACCAAAGTTGGAAGTTACCTGCATAGCTGTAAGAATATTGGCTAAGGCCTGGCCATAGGTGTCGTGGCAGTGCACTGCCACAGCAGCCAATGGAACTTCCATCATAACAGATTCCAGCATTCTCTTCATACAGCCTGGCGTTCCCACTCCAATGGTATCTCCCAGAGAGACCTCATAGCATCCCATACTGTATAGCCTTTTTGAGACCTGATTGGAGAGAAACATAGTTCTGTCAAATACAAGCAAGAGGTAACAAGGGAAATAACAATTCTCTATTTTAGTGTTACACATTCACATGCACCAAAGAAGAATTTCTGAGAAACAGAAACTAATACTAGGAACCCATTCATTTTTCTCTTCAGGTGGCTTATTTCTATCTTCTTCTCAAGATTTATGGAGCATCTGAACCTGGTAGCTCAGAATTCTGGGAATTCCAACCACAACAGACCTGGAAGGCACTGGGTTGGGAAAATAGATCTAAGTCACAAAATGAGTCTTTGCACTTACGTATGCGTGTGAGTTTGTTTGTAGGCTTTTTGGATCAAGATATCTGACCGAACAATAAGACATACTGCTAGATTTTAGTCTGCCTAAACCAATTAAGACTGGGAAAAAGCCCATCTGATATTATATTGTCTGCTTAACAAATAAAAGCCAAAGCAGATGCCTGTTGCATATGTACCTAGCTGTATTGTATTTTTATTCCTCTTTCTGACTTAAAAAGCATTCAGAGCTTACAGCCCTTCTTCCTTTTTTGAGGAAAAATATACTCGTATAGAAAATGTAGAGCATGATGGACTACTTTTCTCAGGATGAAGTATTTGGTTTTTTGCGGTGGCGTGCTAAAGGTTGTCCTCCAAGAAATAAGCATGGCCACAGACCATGGGATTTAAAGTTCAGTGGAATACAAATTTATATGATTATTCCTCATGTATTTAAAGTAATTTCCCTTTTCTGTCACATTAGAAATTACAATTCAATGATGTTATTTGGAGGGGCTATATGGGACACACCTTGTGGAGGAGATTGTGGAGCCACAAGGTATGCGGCCTTGATGTAGAAGAAGGCCAGTATGGGAAACAACCTATTAAACATCTACAATATATTTCAGAAGATCAAATATTGTTCAGGTTTTGCAGCGAATAGCCACTTATTCACAGTAAAAGGAAACTTTGTAATTTTCCAGATTGCTTAATCATTAACTTAGCTATCAGGAACAATATGTGAAAACATCTTTTCCTTCCACTTATTCCCCTTTTCAGCATTTTAGACACAAAAATCTACAAACAAGTATATCCTCTTGCGTTGCTGAGGTTATTCAACATAGTTTTCCCAGGTAAATTTCAGGCACAGAGATATTGGGAGACAGAGGACTTTTGGCAGGGAGCTGATCCTGACTTTTCAAATTCACAATGACAAAACTTGTAATTATTAATTTCATGAGTGAAATACCATCTAATTTGAGATGGTATTTCACCCATGTAAACTACCACTTGATGTTACAGCAACTTTGAATCTGCTAACAGTATTTAGTTTTGGTTTTGAGGTAATTAGGTTCAAGTAATCTCAGGTTCTTGCAGTGAGAGCTGTGGACACTGAAAGTTTTTGAACAGCAAAGACAAAGCAAGGGTTATCAAACTGAAATGATCTTATTCTTACATAACTTGTTTTCTTCTTCTTTTTATATCAGATTCTTCACATACTGTACATTTTGAATTTACCAAGCAAAAGTGTATACTGATAACATTTTTGGGAAAACATTATCACTGTTTTAACTCTTTTTTGAGCTTTCAATTTTCCTTAAGATTATAAAATGTATTGTTCCAGATCAGATCGAGGTTCATCTGTGGAACTCCTGACATAATGTTTGAAACAATGTTGTGGATGGCTGAAAGCAAACAAGCTGAAACAAAACCAAAGTGTTGTATCCTAAGAAATCCAATCTAGATGAAGGTTTACAACTGGTCTTAGATAAAGTTGCACTCCCACAAAAGAGATAGTGACAATTCTCTTGCAGTTTTCATCAGTGTGGAAAGCTGAGGTAGCTTGGTCAGGATTACTTGGTGTAATTTGATCTGGTTTCAATTATTCATACTCCAATAATGACCATGCTGGACTGCCGTAAAGCACGTAATATGCCTTTAAAGATAGTTCAGCAACTTCAGCTAGTGCAGGATGCCAATGCCCATCTCTGATAGCAGTCAGCTTGACAGATACAAGAGAGAGGATCTTTTCTTCTGAACAACTTACCAAGTGAAGTTCATCAATCCCCTTTAAGAAAATCCAGTCATTACCTATTTTCCATGGCCTCTACTTAAGCTGGGGGAGGTAACAACTTTCTGGCTTTTCATATCTTGAGGATTGGATTCTGATTTATGATCACCACCAGCTTTTATTGAAGTTTGTGTCTCTTGTTTGTATTCTTTTATCCTATGAGGCTCCTTGAGAAACCTTTTTTTACAAGAATCCAAACCACCAGAAAATGACCTATCAGAAGTTGAATAGTGATAAATCAGTGAGCTGTGCTCTGCTGTTTCTCCACCCCTATTCCAGGGATAAACATGTACACACACACAAATTCTTTTTTATATGGGTGCCTCTTGGACTTAAAAACATATTTTCATCGCTTCTGCAGTCCATCTACTCCTCAGACACAGAAAAGGCAGATCATGTAAATTCTATTAGCTTTAATTCTAATTCTTAGCTTGAGCTGAAATGTTCATGACATGTTCAGGAATGCTACTTTATTGCATCAAGTGAAGAAAATTCCCACCATATGTTTTACCTTCCTGCTTACTAACTGACAATGGGACTGATGCTTCTATTATTATCTAAACTGACAGTTATTCTTGCTTCTGAAAATATATACAAACTATATATATTTGATGGCAGCTAATAGCTATGGCTCATGCTATAAGCTTGGATTGGAAATGGAGGCTACTTACTGTCTCATACAGCTAACAGAGAAGATATAGAGGAACAATTATATAGCTGAAATGCAAATAAATGCTTTTTTGCCTCAGTGAGAAGAACTGACACTGACTTACAGATTAGAAGTATCTCTCAAGGTATTTGGCAGTTCCATGTTCAGTGTGTATTACATATACATATAAATATAAATAATATTTATATATTATATAAATAAATAAATTGCAAGCATGCTCCTAAATTTCCAATTTCAATTACCACAAGGAAATGAATCATGCGTGCAGCTATCCCTACAACTTTGGAAGAATAAGGAGTTGTAGAGGTATATTTAAGACACCCATATTCTGGTTTGGTTTTTATTTAGAAAAAATAATCTTACTTCAGCAACTTTAGCTGGAGGAATAGCTCCTTCATAAGGGCATCCCAACGCACAAGATACATACCTAAACAAACAAAATGGAAAAGAGGCTCACTTATGATATACATCCATATACTAACTCTCACAAGCAACAATCATGATTTTAAATGCAGTATGTACAATTATGAAAAATGTAATAGCGGACAAATTATTCTGCAAAGTCTACAAAAATATTGATAAAATCAAATGCAAGCTATCAGCAACCAGGTCACAAGTAGTACGCCATATATTAAAATTTAAACACATACAGTACTTCTGGGGAAAAAATCCAATGTTTCTATCAAATTTATTTTTAACTAGCTGGATTTATATTTACAATTTGACTTCCACTCTCTAGTTCCAAACTCTTGAACTAGCATATTATCTGCATTGAGATCATAAAGTAAAATCTTGCAGCACTGGGATAATGATTCTGTGTTCAACTCAAGTAGTGATATGCCAGTACAAAGCATCTTCCCTTCGAGGATGAAAGGCTCGTGCAGTGGACTTCAGCCAGGATATTGCCAAAGCAGCGCACAACTCAGAATACTTACATTTCATATAAATGGGAATCACATGCAGCTCACCACTCCAGGCCTCCCATGATCTGCTCTATCCTTTTATAGAATTCTGATATCTACCTACTAGAGCTTGGTGCAAAATTCATTGTTACAAAACTAAAGTACTCTGAATTTATGTTGAATTCCAGAACAGGGCAGAGCTCACTGTCTTTCATACAAAAATCTATTCTACATTGCTCCTCCTACCCAGAAAGCAGTAACATTACCAAATTTTGAAAACTACAAGGATACCTTGTAGTATCTAATGGAAGGGAAGGGAAGGGAAGGGAAGGGAAGGGAAGGGAAGGATAAATCAGTGGGCATTCCTGGAGGACAGTGTTCATAATTATATATTATAATAATGCATATACTTATATAAATTAGTGTGTCTAATCAATGCTTTGGTTCACCATTTTGATGACACATTTTTTCCCATTTTTGTTGATATCAGCCACAGGCAAGCTGTGAAGTAAAGGGCTGATAGGGCTCCAGCTGTACACCCTCTTCATTTCCCCCATGACATCTCTGCAGAAAACCCCCATGTATTAGAGGACTTCTGAAGAAAAAAGAGGAGAGGCAAACTCATCAGCTAGCACTTGGTTTCTCAGCCCATGCCCCACCCTAGTAAATACATTATAATGGAAAGGAAAAGGGACTTCCTGCCGAAATACCACAAGTAATACTAATTCAGTCCAGAATAACAGTCAACGTCACCCAGCTAAGAACTACTCTAATAGCCTTCCAAACTGAAGCTGAGGGCTTCAAAATCCTTTAAAAATCACATCAGCACCTCACACATTGAAAATGTTCTTGTGTGTGTTATAAGGCTCCATTAACACTCAATAGGAAATTTGCCTTCCTCTACTAAATCAGAAATGAATGGCATAGTCAAGGATTAATGCACATCCCATCTTGCTTAACATCTTGCTAACATCTGTCTTAGCCATGTCTGTTCTGCCTTCCACAAAATAAAGAAGTGATGAAACTATATACAGCTCCTTTTGACAAATCAATTCACTTAAGCTCACTTCCCCATCCTCCAGTTTAAAAAAAAAAAAAAAGCATGTAAGCCAAACCTAGGCATCAATGGGCAAATATACAGCACTCTTCTGTATTTTAAAAGACTATGTTGGATGCCTCAGTGGGAAGAGAGATAAAAATCACTGCTGCTTCTCATCAAAAAGAAAGAACAGAAAATCATGGATGGAATACTAGTACCCTCCACCGGAAAACTCCTGGGAATTGAAATTATAATTTATTATGGAAGTTGGTCTTTGGAAGGAACGTTTATGAAGTATAGCTATGTAATTTATCACTCTCAGTTCCAGTAAAATGAAAATAAATCCAAGTAGAAACTGAGTCCTACACAGAAGTCAGGCTCTTGCATGAATCTGATGGTTACAATGCCATATACATGCACAGCTGCTAGCACAGCCAAACGCAGAGAGACTCTGAGAATCTGGTCTGAGACACAGATGCTGTTGTTTCCTGTTTATTATTATATTGTATGTTTGAATATAATTTACACTCTTCATTGCAGAACCATTTATTTTCATTGGAAGCTCATGTTTGAAGAACAGACATGTGTCCTAAAGCAAATTCTTAACATGGCAATTGATATTTCCTTACGGAATGTCATATTACAAAGCCACCAAATAATTACTGCCAGAACACTAGGAGGTAAAGGGAGGGTGTAATAATAACCTAAAAAATGTCTTCTAATTAAAGCAAAGCTTTGAAAAAAGAATAGGACTTTGGATAGTTTCAACTGTATTTCAAAATTGCTCATTGCAAAGTACTGTACTAGATGATGCAATATATACTATATTTGTAGTAACATTCTGTAATTTATTCAACACATTCTCATAATATAGGAGTGTTTAAATCAAAGCTAAAATCAAAGCTAACCCTCAATCCCACTCCCAATATTTTTAAAAAATACAAAAATAATTGTAGACCTATTTTCTGCATGGATGGGAAAATAGTTTTTACATCATCTATAAGCATCATACAAGCAGAAGGTATGTTGAATGTTTCTTAAATCCCATAACTGATTTTAAGTTTCAACAAACATGGACAAGAATATGGCCATTCAGAGCAACAAATATGAAAAACTCTGCCATTGGTGAAAGAATGCAAATAATTTTCATTTCCTTCAAGCAGATATGACACTTCATATTTTCATTAGATCAGATTCTTTTGCTGCCATATTGCCTCATATTGAAATGAGGCAAAACATTTTATTTTTCTGTATGGAAGTAAAGTCAATCACTTATGTCAACCACAAGTGGATTGTTCTTTTATTTATAAGTAGGGACACATTTGTGGCATCACAATTTGCCTACTTGGGTTTTGTTTTGTTTTTTTAAGGTAAAAGTTAAAAGTTAGTTTCAAGTTGCAGATTGGTGTTAAAGGTGAGTCTCAGATCTGAAAACTGAAGCTGATATGTTCTGGTAATTTATGAACTCCAGACATTCTCAAAATTAAGACATGGAAAATTTCGCTATGTAAAGGTCATAGTCTCTCAAAATATTAATTATGAGTATCTCATAACAATAGAGCCTGGGGTCAACTACTGAACTTAATGAATAGAGATTCAAGACAGAAAGCATTATCACACCCAATTAAATTTTGCTACACACTAGTAGAAGATATAGTGTTGGCTGCTATCTTGGATATCTTAAAAGAGTGATTAAACTAATTTGTGAAGAATAAAGTCATTGATGTTTTATATCACCTCAGATAATGGAGATAAATCGCATCTTAGCAAACATTCTCAGTGAAAATAACAGAAAGATTCTATTCTGTTCATGAACTGCTTGTGGATTTCCCATAGGTATCTGTCTAGTTCCCAAGGGAACACGTTGGGTTGAATAGGACCTGGGTCTGACCTAATATTGTTCATAGGCAAGGAGCTATGGGAAGTATCTTAGTAGTCTTGTAAAGCAAGATTCAAAAAATAAATATTGTGTTTTACAATCCTTCCTCCATTTTCATCTCACAGTGCTTTGAATGAGTCAGCTCATACATAGAGACAGCATGATTTGCCAAGACCACCCAGTCAGTTTCTTGACTAGCAGGCAATTAAAGTTGTCTAAATGTGACATGTTATTCACCTGCTATACTGCCCCTAGTTTAATTGCAATATATTTACGTAAGCTTTTTTTCATGTATTACATTCACGTGTCCCAATAGTCATATCAGGAGAGCGTCTGTGATTATATATACTCTTCTACAGGGAAATCTCTTGTGAATCTTTGAATCGTTTTAAAAGACAATAATTTTCTGTGCAGTCTGTATTACCCGATTACCCAGAAGATTTTAGTACAATTGAATATACAAAATATATTAACAATATTTAGATTACTGGATTTTTTGAGCACGTTTCTTTGGACTGTGGACTTTAGATGGATCCTAAAGTGGTAGGAAAAGCCCTGTTGGACTGAGTGCCATCAGGGATTTCTTTTATCCGTACAGGAACAGCCTCCATTCATGGTCGACCTCAGCAGCTGGTATCCAAATGCACAGCTTCTGACTGTTGATGACAAGAGTTTGGTGGTCCAAATCATTCCATGAACTAAGCACTTTCCAAAGCACTTAAAACAGTTGCCTACAGTCCTGGCATGGCTATTTAGAAGGCCTTGTTGAAAAAGTACTTTGGATATATAGAAACAAACAGGTTTTTAAAAAAAATATTGTATTATAAGGTGCAAATAATGCATTATATGATTTGGGTACAGTGGTATTTACAATATTAATGAGAGATTATTAACACCATGATGATTTAGGTAACTTAAACCTTTAAAGATAAGGGGAAAAGTTTACATCAATATTAACTATGGTTTCTCAAATGTTAGTATTAATAAATGTATGGTTGCTTAAATTGTACATCTAGAGCTGAGTGTAGCATTGATAAACTTGTCTGATAATGTTTCTGTAACATAAATATCTGTAAAGTCCATTAGCTAGGCCAGTTCCTTCAAGTATTAACATTCTACTATTCAGGAATTTTATCCATTCTGTTATCCATGACAAGCAACTTGCTTTATCATACAATTTAAAATTTGGAAGAGCAAGACTACCTCTGTCTTTTGAATCTTGTAAAAATTTGAACTTAACTCTAGGTCTTTTCCCACTCCATATAAATTTACTGACAATTTCTTGCCATTTTGTAAGGTCTTCTCTGACATTGTGATTGGCACCATTTGGATCATGTAATTTATCTTGGCTGATAGATTCATTTTAATTGCAATTGATCCTAACCAAGATGGATTTAGATTCCTCCAGCTTTCAAGATCTCTTCTGATTTCTTGCCATAATTTAGCATAGGTATTTTGATATATTTCTTGATTCCTGCCTATAAAATGCAAACCAAGATATTTCACTTAGTGGGCTATCTGACAGCCAGATTCTTCCTGTGAAAGATTATCTTCTCCTTACATTAGATATCTTGTAATTATTTTTGGTTTTTGGACATTGATTTTGTATCTGGAGAATTCTCCAAAGCTATGAATTGTTTTCATTAACTATTTTATTGCCCTTTGTCGTTCTGTGAAGGCTAATACTACATTATTTGCAGAACATTTAAGCTTATGTTCTTCTCCACAGATTTTGAGATCTGATATTTGTTTCTCACTTTGGATCTTTTCTGCGAATATTTCTAGAGCTATTATGCATAAGGAAGAAAGTGGACATCCTTACCTTGTACCTTTACTAATTTAAAAATATGCAGAGAGCGCTCCATTAGCCACAATCTTTGCTTTTTGCTGTTGATATATGCTTTTAACCCAAGCTGGGAACTCTTCTCCAGGATTCATTTTATTCAGTACTACCAGCAGGAACCAGAGAAAATTCACATTTGAAGGAATGTAAGATAATTTGCAGGCTTGCCCACAAATGACCTCTTCTTGTGATTATGATGGATAATGAATAATGAACTATATGACAAATACTCAGCCTAATGAAGTACTTATGGTCCATATGAGTGCACAGGTGCATGGAAATGCAACAACATGCCAGGATGGCCTAAAATAATGATGTGCCAAAGATCAGCAGAAAATCAAAGTATGATTGATGCATAAAAATGCCAAGAGTCAGGACATGAACCTCATGATCAAGAACTGCTTAAGAACAGCTAAATTCCTCTCCAAATTGTCTTTTAAAATTATAGAATTTTAAATCAGTATTCCATGATAAGACTGATGAAAACCAGCTGGTCAGAGTCCAAAACTTTTAGGTTATAAAATAAGTGACGAAGAGAAACTGTGTGTAAGTAGATGTGTGTGGTGTGTAAAGGTGTACATGTATTGTGTAAGAACATGCATGTAGTGTGTAATGTCTTCTCCATTTTATACTTCATTTGCTGCATTCTGCTCGCTGCTTCTCTCACTATCTTTTCCACACCGCAACATCTTTTTAAATCAAGGAGCCACAAACATCCTTTGGTAACTGATTACTAATTAAGATAATTTCTCTGTTTGCATTAGCTGGGAAAATCATACTGATCAGCGATGTGTACTTCTAATTAGTTGTGCTGGAACTGAGAATTGTATTAAAGGGACAATTGTATTCAAACGTTGATTAAATAAACTTATGCAATTGTACTAATGTCTTCTGTTGGTGATTGTGCTACAGGTCCTGAGAGGGGAGAAAACATGTTCTCTGTGTTCTCCCCTCCCAAGAGCCCTTCTAAGGTCTTCTGGGTAGCCATGTTCATGCATAGAAGGCACTTCCACCAGAAAGTCTTCAAAGTTGCCATGCTGAGCCATCAAGAGGTTGTAGTATCTTTGCAAATCCAGACAGGATTTTGTTTCTGAACAAAATACTTCCAGAATGATTTGCACAGCCCCCCTATCTAGGGCTTAGCTTCACTGTACCTTGCAGCAGCAATTCAGAACCTTAATAATTACAGGTTATTCAGAAGAAACACTTCTTTTCTCATTCTGAATCTTCAGCTAATTAATTTCATTCACTAGACTAGATATATAAATATGGAGATTATATGCATGAATAATTAATAAAGATATTTAGGTTGCATACTTTAAAAAAAATAGTAAGCCTTTGACATCTTCCAGTATGTCAGCTGATAATGTATATGTTCTACATGAACATATACCAAATCTGCCTGGCCCTGGATCGATGCCAGTCCAGCTGTAGCAATGTAACTTAAGAAGCCTCCCTAAAGCTTTCAAGGAGATTTTTCCATTAGATTTACCCATTGCTGTTGATGCATTCTTGCAATATTAACTCTAGATTGCCAGGAAAAACAAAACATAAAACTTGAAACTCCTAACATGATTTCTGAAAGTTCACTGGAAAGGTCCAATCCTGCCAGATTGCCTACAATTATACCATAGTTGATGGTACCAAAAGCCACTAAGTAATCTAGAAAACTATCAGGTCCCTACTCCCACATCTAGTTTCTGGATTCCAGCTTAGGTCATTCATCAATGTGTTCAGAATAGTCTCAGGACCATATCCCAGCCAAAAACCTGACATAAATTTGTCCAGAGAAGCAGTTGCATCCAAATCCACTGAGGTCACAACTTTTTTGAGCCCTTACTCTTTTTAAGCCCTTATCCAGGAATGAAGTATATGAGACTGCCCTGCAGTTACAAGGATCTTCCAGGTCAAGAGAAGGCTTTTTCAGTAAGGACCTTATAACAGCCAGCGGGAACATAATCCACCCTCAAGAATGCATTGATCACCTCCTTAACCATGGAGCCCAATCCCATCTGGGCCAAACTAACCATCCAATAAGGACAAGGTATTGGGTGACGTAGTGGTGGTCCTCATCTCCACATACATTACATGCTAAAAATCCATGTGAACGGGACAAGGAGTTCCCAAAGTAGTCTCTCTGTTCTGCCACAACACTGGAGTCCAAATCAAGACAAATCACATCAGTTTTTTCTGCAAATAATGATTAAAATTCTTCACAACAAGTCTCTGTACCTGCTGTAAGATCTGGACAGAAAAAATCCTACATAGTACAGAAATGCATTGTTGGCCTATTCTTTGCAGGTAAATGCAGGCACAGAAGTGAGCACTCATTGTTGCATTCACTGTCAAGGAAAGGATTTCAAATGGGAGTTAAATTGAACTGCATTCTATATTTGATTCAATCCATCCTAAGAGTTCCTCCACATGAGCTCCAGTTCATTACCAATCAGTTTAATTGCTGCAAATTTACCAAAAGACTTTACTAGGAAGGAAGAAAAGTTTAGAGATATCCAAATCTTTGGAGGATTCCAGAAATGGATTATAAGAAAATATTGGATTTTTTCAAGTATGTTGAAAAACTGCACAAGAGAAGCTATGCATGGATATGATATGCAGATTGGGGTTAACAAGGACTCAAGTACTGCTGTAACCCACTTATGTAAAGGGGAATACTAGTAAGTAATCAGTCTGAAGTGAAACACCTGCAGCATTGTGATAGAATGGAGTAACTAAGACTGCAATCTTAAAATCAACCTTACATAGTGTAAGTCCAACTGAATAGACTAGGATTCACTTTGAATAAAGAACCAAAAATTGTGTTGCAAATTAGTAATCTATCTCAATTTCTTTAGTCAGTGTGAAAATATAGCAAAGAAATGATCACATTAGTAAAATTAATAATTATTACCCTCGCACTGGAATGTCCATATTTCTTGCAGATTTAACTATAGCCTCAAATCTTTCCAGGCTTTCTTCTATAGTACAGTTGATATTTATTTTACTGAAAGTCTCAGATGCTGCACCAAACACTGACACTTCAGTTGCTCCAGCAGCTATCTACAAAAACAAACAGAACAGGGGGAAAAAAGATCATTTTTCTTAAGTAAATAGGAACTATACAATTGTAATATATATATATATTTTTTTTTAATAGTAATTCCCTACCATCTGTAGTTCAAGTAACCAAAAAGTAGTCTACCTGTAATTAATTAAATTTACATGAAGTCATTCCAAGAGAAAATTATTTCCAGTTAAGTATCTTAAGATCTAGATAGTCATGACTAGTAGGAGGAACTGCTGCTAACTCAGGTCTTCTCAATGGTGTCCAGTCTCAGACTCCACTTACTGGAATAAGGATTCAAGACTAAAGTAGAAAAGATGAGGCATGATGTTACTCTATTGTTTCCTAATCTTCGCTTCAGTTCATTGGCTTTTATTCTGAAAGGGAAGTGGAGATATTCAGTGAACTGAAACTCATTTACAAACTTGGCAGACAGAGTAATGCAATTTCTGTCAGCTGGGGATCACCAAGCTTTGTGTGGTGTGTCAACAGGGGGTAGTGTCAAGGACTTTAAGAGGTAAAACAGAAATCCTGATAATCAGCACCCATTTTACACCTTAAGACCTCCCCACGGGGGCGGGGGGGGGAGGGATGGAATGGTTCCACCCATTCTTGGGCTACAAAATGGATGATAGCAGACTGCATATTGGGCATTCTCAGGATAAGCCATAATATAGTTTGTTTGGTTTTGACTCAATAGCTTGAATGAATAGCTATTGCAGTTTATAAGCCATGCTGTAGTTTATGATAGAGATAAGGGGAGACTAGAGGTTATTACAATTATTAGGTCTAGCCATGGGAATATCATCCTCTGTGATTTAAAGCCCTATCATGCAAGCCTTCCACAACTTTCCATTCCTCAGGACCAAATCAGTTTTGGGAAGGAAGGGGACATCCCAACCATTTCCCCACTACCATCACAAGCACCACAAGCATGGCAGCAAACACACCTTGACAGATGTTCCATGCTGGAACACTTCACCCCACTTCTGCCTGCCTCACCAGCAGGCAGGTGATCAAATGTAGATTCTTCTGTGAAGATATTTCCTTGCAATTGGCACATGTGCTGTCTTCACACCGCAGCAAGCAAGACATATGGATAAGCTCTAAAATTGGCATAAGTCATACATTTCAAGAAGTCTAAATCCTGATTAATATATTTTGGATTTAACTTCAAGAATGGAAGCTTTCTATTATTTGGTATTTCTAATTCTTTGAATGTTTTGGAAGGATTTATTTTTTCTAATTTATATCAAAATTAATGTTCTTTTTTATATTTAGCATAGCTAAAAACATTCGTTTATTTGTTAACTCTTATCCTGACTTAATCCTGGGTCTGAAAGAAGACGACTGGCCCAAAATCTCCCAGTAAGCTTCATGACTGAAGGTGCACTCGAACTTGTACCTCCCCGGTCTGGGTAGCTCTATATCTTAAGCACATGTTCTCTTCATTCTATATAGTACATACGTATATACAGTATATATATATATATATATATATACATACAGCAGAATGGAAACCTTGAAGATTAGGAGTAAGAACTGGATAACGGACTCCAGGATACTGTTTTATTCCTTTCATTACTTCTGTATGATCTGCCATCTTAAAAAAAATAATTAATTTAATTTCACAATGTCATATTATAATATCTAACATTTACGTCATGGTATTAATAAAGGGACATAAATAACACAACAAACATACACAAACCAGAGAGGCAAGATAAAACTGAGAATGTATGCCAGGTTCAATTTTCCAGAAAGTAACATAGAGATAAAAGTGATCTTTACATAAACAGTTTTTGGCATCTTTCCTTTGTGTAAGGGATTTGCCCCTGCAGTTCTCTGAGCATGAAAGTAAAAGCATCTTTGGAGAAAGTAGCATATTCAATTATCTCCCCTTTTTTCATTTGAAAATGATTAAATGTGAACCAGAAATATGATACAAACAAAATAAGTTTCTCACTTCTGTTAGCAATTAATACAAAGCTGTAAAAAAGCTAACTGATGTTTTATGATGAAACTGAATTTGCCCTGGCCATCAATAGAAATTATCTCTTACTACTTCCAATTCTACTATTTAAAAAAGATCCAGGAATCTTTATATAATGTATGTAAAAGTAAGTAGGTAGATAGATAGGCAGACAGACCAATTCATGTCCTATTGACGCCAATAGTGAAAAAAATGTAACTGTGGATTCCACATGTCCATACAATATACAGTATACCTTAATTTATTTCATTGTCTAGAAACTATGTTATTATATTTAAAATAATAAAGTGACTCTTACACCACTTTTGCACACATGTAAACACTTTTAAGGAGTGGCATGTAGATTTTTAATATAAATACATATATACCCAGAAGACCTACTGAGTATATAGGATTACAAACAGTCCTCACTTAGCCCCCACAATTGGGACCAGCAATTCCATCACTAAACACAGCGGTTGCTAAGCAAAACATCACATAACCACAGCAGGCTTATCACCGCACTTCCCCTTTGGTTGTTAAGTGAGTCACCATGGTCATTAAGCAACACATCACATGACCACGACTTATGATTTTAGTTTTGCCTTCTCTATTAACTCTGCTTGTTGGAAGCCTGTTGTGAAGCACAGAAATAGTGATCACATGACCGTGGGATGCTGCAATGGTTGTAAATGCAAGGACTGGTTGCAAAGCTTTTTTTTTCCCACACTGTTGTAACTTCAGACAGTTGTTAAATGAGGCAGTTGGTAAGTGAGGACTACCTGTATATAAAAGGGAGTCAATATAACTAACATTTGTTATCCTTCTCTTTCTATTGCATAGTCTTTAATGCTGGTAGGTATAGGGATATCTCTTTCAGAATGACACAATTTTCAAGTAATTGTGTTGGGAGTAAGATGTTGAACTGAGATTCGAGAAGGGCAGGTTTGAGTCCTCACTCAAAGTGAAGCTGCTTGGGTGACCCTGGGCTTACTCTTAGTTCAAAGAAATCGCCAGATTTTTGTTGTGAAGGTAAAAGAAAGTGAGACTCTATGTTTACCATCTTGAGGTTCCAAAGGAAAGGCAAACTATTTGTGCAATCATAACAAATCTTTAATCCCTTAATTAAATGAAGAATGTCCTTCATACCATCTAGGATAAGACAAATCTTTAAAATAAAATATACTCTACTTAATTAAATGCTAAACCAATGTCACAACATTTGTGCTTTTGAATATTGTGAGATATTCAAAAAGACAGTTAAAAATCTAAATAGAAAGTACAGTTCAAGCACCATGAAACTTAATAGTTTCAAATAAATTTTATACAACAGTTTTTTCTTCCAGATATTTTTCTTGTAGGTAGAATCTTATTTTAACATGCACATTAATGTTTCTGCAATCAATGTACAAAATGCAATAGGATACTTATACCATAAGCTTTCCAGTGGCACCCATTTATCATTCTTGGCAATTTCAATTATAGGTGTGGGATCCTGTTTTACATGGCACATTGCTACTGCAGAACTTTTACTTCTTCTGGCTGCCTTTAACTAAAAAAAAAAACTGCCAAAGAAAACATTTGTAAAGAAATGGTAACAATTCAAAAATACCTTTAAGAAAGAAAAGACAGAAAAGTAACTAACTATAGTTTTATGATCTAAGAAAAGACAATGCTAAGGGGACACAATCAAAATCATGCTTCATCTGCAAGTAACATGGCCTTAGTATGTCAACAAATTTAATCCGAACATCAAGCTGCTATATAATACATTCAGCATTGAAATGGAAATAAAAAGGGATTGTTCTCCACCTCTCATATATGACTAACTTAGGCCAAATTGGTTACTCAAAAAGCCTCACAGGGGGAAAAAAATTAAGAGCACATTTTTAAAAACTAAGGGAATGAAAAGAGTGGTTTATGGTTGCCTTAGCTATTCCTTGAAGGAAATTAAGTATCAGAGTACAACATTACAGTGCAAAATGACAATAAGAAGCTTCCAGAATTATTTTTTTTAAAGAAAACATGGGATGCCTATTAGTACGGGCAATTTAAATTGATTTCGTTAAGGCTAACACAGACAATTAAAAAAAAGTTTCTGAATGGATTTTAATTTAAAAATGCATGAGAAAAATGATAAGAAAAAGTCTACCAGTGCCACTTTCATCAGAAATATGTATCTTTGTGAGCAATTAGATCTTTACAATTTGCCTTTACAGCAAACCTTCACATTTATCATTCAGCGAGAAAATTCAATGAACAGAAATATCCTTCTAACCACTTATGTCACTGAATCATAGTTTTAGATCACTGAGTCCAGCCTCTGTTCAGTGCAGAAATCCAAGAAAAGGAATCTAGGCCAATGGCTGTTTAGCCTATAATTGGACATATCAAATGGGGGGGGGGGAGGGCATTACCCTTCTTGATAAGGCCCCCATCCAACCATTCTTACTGTTATCAAGCTTTTTACTGACATGTGATCAGAATCCCTCTCTTCCATTTTGGAATGAGATTTCACCCTCTTCTGTTGAGCACGTGGTACACTTTTTTTCTTTTTTCTTTTGACACAGCTAAAGCAGCTCTTTTTGTTATTTTTAGCATCTTTTCGCATCCTTTGTTAATAACTCAACACATTCTGAATCTTTACTTTTGTAACACCAGTTCTGTGGTTCTGGACTATCTGTCAGTATTCTTCCTTTGTGACCTGACTCTGTCTCCATTTTCTGTATCTTTCTGTCTTCTCAGATATTTGTGTAGCCACACTGACTTCTTTTGCTACCCTCCAGTTTTTCTCTTCGTTGGAATTAGGGATTCCCATTCATCTTGAGCTTCTTTTTCCATTAGTTTGCCATGGAATTGTACTCATCAGTGTTCTGGGTTTATTAAAATCCACTTTTTATTCTTCCAATCCAGCAGAATGATGGGACTCAATTATTTAATAATTATTTTAAAATTAATAATAATTTTAATAATTACTATCAATTATTTGATAATTATTTAAAAATTATTGAAAATGGCACGCAGGAGATCAGATGGTTGTTTCCAATGGAGAAACATGGGCCAGGGCTGCCTCTCAAATCAGGCTGCAGCCAGCTATCTTCCCATAATATTTTTATTAAGAGTTTTACACAATTAAAAGCTAATACATAATTAGAAGATATACAAACAAAAAAGAAGAGAACAAGAGAAAAAGGAAAAGGAAAAAGAAAGACATATAAAAAGTGACTCCCCTCTCCCTCCAGACAAGTATAAGCATTTACAGTAACTTAATACCTTTTCTGATACTACAGTAAAAGAAACTCTTCTTCCCATTTCTCATCACTAAACAATAACCAAATTATAAAAAAGATTTTCATTGATCAGTCTTACATAGCAAAAGCATTAAAAGTATCAGTAATAATAACCCGTATGTTTTAAGCTTAAACAACTAAATTTATTTTCCATTTTGACTTAGAACTTTTTCTAATAAAACATTGAAAAAATTATCCCCATAAGGATAAAGAATACAATAATAACAACATCTGTATATTTAAACTAGATCCAATAAGTCCCTTTTACATACTAACCCCTAACTTTCTCTAACAAATAGGAAATAAAAGATTCATCCCTATATATATAAAAAAAAATCTTTACATCATCTTGCAGAAAAAAGGTTCCAATAATAACAACTCAAAATCAAAACTTATACAATTTAACCCTGGTCAAGTAAGTCCACTCTGAACACGCTTTTCTTCTTTTTAAGAGGCTTGATCTTCAGTTGGTTCTTCAAATAAAGTCCCACATAGTGATTTCTTATCATTTTCTCCCTGTCTGTTTTCAGAAGCAACTTCAGAGATTTAACTCTTCCATTCTGTGGATCCACAGTAAAAGAACTCTCCAACTCACTCTTCTGATTTGTAATCTGGATATCCCCTTTAATTGTTAAAACTTCAACCAGTAAAGTTTGTATATCCATTACAACTTTTTTCACCATGTCACTCTTGTAATCAAACATATTTAAGTCCATTTTCAGATCCACACCATCTTTTTCCATATCTTCCGTATCTCTTTTATAACCTGACATTTCTTTTTAAGTTCATTTTAAACTGTTTATTCATATCATCCTCAGCTTTTGCTTTATCCAGTAGAAATGTTTCTTCTTCTATAACCTCTGTTAGATCCAATTTTTAAAATAAGTCCTGAACACATTGTTCCCAAACAGATTTAAATTCTTCTATAGTAAGACAATGTTCCTCCATTGTTAGGATGTATCTTTTAATTGCTCTCTGGTTCCCTCTAGTTAACCTTCAAAGCCCA